GTTTGATCTTACAAAGGGCGAGAAGACCGATGGATGGAGAGCTTGGTCGTAATTTGGTTGCTGCTGAGCGGTGTGAAAGTGCCTGATGGGTTTTCGTTTTTTTGGTTGCTAGCTCTTCTCAGGTCCTTCCGTATTCAACCGAAGAATGGGATTTCTCTTTGGTGCGTCGATACCATTCATCATTCAGACTGAAGAATGACAATGAAGGGCCAGCAGTGTAGTTGAAGCTGATAGATTCATCTATGGTCTTATCTAGTTTGTGGTGGTGTTGGATTACCTAGTTGGCTGTTTGTAAGTGATCTAGTAGGATGGTGATATGGATGGAATGTATAGCCTGACTTGGAGGGCGTGAACAAATTTTGAAATGAAGATCACATCATCATTCTTATTGATTTCGATGCTACCCTACCAACGCGTTATGTTGTCGAAATTTCTAGCTAAAGTTTGCCCGACTTGTCAAAATTTTGGCCTTGTTTGTAAGAAAACTAAAACTTTAGAGTCTCAACTGCAAAAATGCTAGGGTCTATTAAAATTTTGGCCTTGTTTGTAAGAAAACTAAAACTAAAACTTTATTGGCAGCAGCAGAAAGTCACGCCCAGTTGGTGTTCTGTGAAGTAGCAGGTTCTGGCAGAGTTCCTCTCATGGCAGCAGAGCTTAAGGTGCAGGCAATGCATAGGAGTTCAGCGATGGTATCGGCTACGGCGCACACTTTTTCTCTTCGTTGGTCCTGGACTGGCAAGATGACGATGACAGGAAGCTCGAGGAGGTGGTGAGGTGCAGGCAATGACCGAGGCAGCCGAAAGCGTATGATTTGCAATCGCTGATGTGGCAACGCACCGTGCGCCAGGATTCGTTCGCCTTGTCCGACAGGCAGCAGAGCGTTCGCTCAGAATCCGTTGTGAGCTGACGTCACTTGGTTAAAATTTCCGAATACAATTCTAAATCTTATTCGGAAAACGAAAACTTCGAACCCACCACGACTACCCGTAGACGTACGCAATTATCCGATTACCGATGTCTTGCGGTAGACGCGAGAGGTCCAAACTACAAACTCAAGCCACCCCACGTACGTCCCTGATTTATAGGTCGCGTCGTCGCCAACTTGCAACTCAAGCCACCGCCGCTCCCCACCTGCGCCACCGAGATGCCGACCTTGATAGGCACGTCGACGGAGCAGATGCCGCTGCAGGACATCGCCGGGAAGGCAGGCCTTGTCGTCGTCCTTGGCGCCGCTGGAGGCTCCGCCTTCTACTTCCTCAAGGGCCTCCGCAACGCCAAAGGCCGCCGCCTCGCCGGCGGCGCCCAGGGGGTCCTCGCGAACGCGCCCCGCGTCGGCCAATGGGCGGCCTGGCTCGGCGTCGTCAGAGCCATTCACTGCGCCATGGAGCACGCGAACCAGGAGGACGACCCCATCAACGCGCTCATCGCCTGGGGCGGCGCCAACGCCCTCTGCTCCATCCGCCGGGGGCCGCTCGCGGCCGTCCTCTCCGGGCTCAAGGGCGCGGCCTTCGGCGGGGTCGTGGGGATCGCCATGTACAGCCTCAACCACTTCATGGCCGAAGACTGATCATAGTGATGCTGTTGTGAGGCTTTTTTTCTGCTGCTTTAGATTCCGAGCTTGCTGGGAGCGCTTAATTAAACCACATCAACTTGTCTTTGCTCCCCTATATTAAACTGTATAATTCTTTTCCTGCCTATTATTACAGCTTTACTGCTTGTACTCTGAATATTACTCTACTAACATTTAGGAGATGATGATTGCCATATTACTAGTTAGTAGTTTTTTTTTTTGCGGGTAGAAATTTGTATTACTCATCCACCAAAGTCCTTACAATCAATCGCAGCTAGTACCAAAGCCTCAGGAGGACCAGAACCTAACCAAGTCATGGTTCTACCCTCAGTACGAGCAAATTTAGCTAAGCTATCACTAACTTTATTTTGGCTACGACTTACATGAGTAATACAATTTTCATCCATGGAGCGTTGTTTTGCTATTCGATTTGTTCAGTTTATTTGGTTCTTTCGTTATTCCAGTTGTTCGAGTTAACACTTGTCAAGCTGTGAATGCAATTATTGTGTAAAATAATGTGCTCTCTAGTCTGTACTGCCCGTATGATAGAGGGCGGGTGCTAGAAATCCCTACCAAACTAGATGGGTAAATAGAAAGTTACTCTTAAAATCTAGAGAAAATTATGGTTGCCATTAGGGAAAATTACTGATAAAATCTCAAGAAAATAACAAGCTGCGAGTACAATGTTCACACTTTTAGTACCTGCGGTGAACTCATGGAATCATTGTATAAATTGTGGAGATGATCAAAATAAGCAACAAAAATTCCCACCGATGGCAGTAAATTAACTTCTGTGGGCAACTGATGTGAAAATCGTATTTGGAACAAAGCAACTCTGGATAAGTATTGGATTGAATTGGATGGAGTAAAACCCTAAAGGCCGTTGGATAAACCCTAAAGTATTTGCCATGACATCATCTCTCCCCTACCCTAAACAATGAACACATTGCAGAAGAGAGTGTACTTCAACTACGATTCACCCAAAAGTGGTTTGAAGAACTTCGATACATCAGTATTTTCCAAGATTCAATACACTTCCACAACTCTGTTTCTTGATATTTCTAGTTTTAGATATTTTCCTGAAAAGATCAAAAATCGAGAAAAAAATTCAGGAGAAGTTATAGGAAAATCACGCTGCTGTAGATAGAAAGATCCCTAATCCACCCCATCACAATCGTCCTGGATTTGGGAGCTACAACGATGGAGGGAAGATTGAAAGTGAGCTCAAAGCCTCAGCCGATGTGTGATTTCGTATGATTTGGCTAATGACTATTTGAAAGGATCTATTTGCACAATCAAGTGTGGCTGATAAAATCTGAGCAATTGTAAACGATTAGTCCCTTGCTATTTGTCTCTTTCACATGTTTACTCCATTCTTTGTTGTACCACCGAGATTCTTTCCTACATTAATGCATGGTGGCATGCAGTGGCATGTGAGGAATTTACTGGATGTTTTTCCAAATTTTTGCTACCGATGTTTCATGGACAACTAAAATGACAACCCAACATGTGGAAGGATCCTTTAGCTCTTTTTAGATGAGATGCAAAAGATTGGACATGCCCTTTGTAATTATCAAGATCATCAGATGATGAAGGCTCGGGATGTCGGAAAGTGTGACTGACCTTTTATGTGAGTCGGTTCACTTATGCGCCAACATCTAGACGATGCATGCAGTCATATTATTAATTATTCACAAAGACAATGCAAGGTGATACATCAATAAGCCGAAGCCACCATCTTGGCAACACCGTTGCTACTCCTATCCCCTTGATGAAGGTGTGCCGAATGTCCGGCCTAATACCAAACAGAGATCGCACCAAAGCCTAACATCTAAAGTCGGGTGTGTCATCCAAGCCACTACCTGGATTGGGTCCCACATCGGTCATTCATGTCATCTATCTTATAAATGCCAGTCCAACATTCATGACTTGAGCTTACATGACGATCTTGTAATAAAGGAAACAACCACACCCACATACATAAGTGTTTTGCTACATCTACGAGAGAAGACTTACAGAAGAAAATTACCATGTGAGTGAACTACATGGGAAGCTACTTGGGTCAGGACACGTACTATCCATCAATAGGTTATTGTTCCACATGTAAAGGTAGCAAATCTCACAAAAAAGTTGAGAAAGGTGTGATATCTCCCCAGTGCCCCTACACCCTCATGAACACCTACACCCTCATGAACAGTAAATTTAAAAAAATAAAAAAAATCTGAAACTTTGGGACTCAAACATGATCAAACATTTGATGTTCTTACATAGTTTCAGCCACAAATAACACTCGAGGAGCCCTCGCCAAAAAAAGTGTATTTTTTTGAGAGGGCTCCATGAATGTTATTTGTGGCTGAAACTTTGCAAGTACATCAAATGTTTGATGTCCCAAAGTGTCAGTTTTTTATTTCGTATTCAAATTTTTTGAATTTACTGTTCATAGAGGTGTAGGAGCACCGGGCGTTGAAAGGCCTGTCTCAAAAAAATTCAGTGCTAAAACCCACCACGTTTGAAGGTACGAAAATCAAAACATACACTCCTATTGTGGATCTTAATGCTTTAAATCGTGTGATGCTCTTTATTTTTCTGAATCAAGGAACACTAAGGCCCACACAGTTTCCAATGAAGAAAACTGATAACAAGTCGTAAGATGTCAAAATGTTTAGCTTTGCTTGAAAGTAGTGTTCATGGCCTTGGTGTCCACTCGTACTCTGATGTTGCCTCATTAGCCGAGGCGCGTGCCCTCCACTTCCCTCTAGGGCGTGGAAGCGTTAACACCGATGTCTCCATGATTTCTTTCTTGCATGGTGGGCTTTCATCATCTGAACTATCGTCCCATGAGATATCTCCAGATACCTCAACGACCACAGACATCCTCTGGAGCGCCGGTGAATTCAGTAGCAACAAGTGTGCCATGTCATGGCACTCCTGCCCCGAGAAGCCGTTGAACTCCACCTCGCGAAGATGATCCAGTGAGATCTTGTCCTCCTTCCAGCTCCCAACGCATCCGCATATGCAGCACACATCCCCACACCGACGAATGTACTTTGGTGGTCCACACAATCAAGTCGACATAGAAACATATACATATAGTTAGCAATTACTCACGCGCCTACGAACCCATGGTTAAAGTTTATTGAATTTACAAAAAAAATTAGGACAAAAAGTTATATATGCTCACGGATTTGTTGATGCCTAGGCTGAGGTGTTGAAGATTGCTGCAACGCGCAAGGATGCTAGATACACATGCACCAAAAATGTGGTTGTTTAGAGACCGGAAATCCAGCTCCAGATTTGTGACATGAGGAAGTTGTGGTATGTCTACCATCACATTGTCTCCTTTAGTTGCCTCCATTTTCTGCATGGAAAGGCATGTAGAGGATTTACATTGCTAGCAATAACCACGATGCAACAGTTTGGAGTCGAAAATCTAAGCTACGACATTTTGTATGACTAAACCAACAATCGTTATAGCGCGCGGCAAATAGCTGCTGCACTATATATACGGTGTATCTCGATTATTAGCTATAGCTAAAGCTACCACCTTCTAAAGTGTAAATGTGCCAAAAATAGTCCGTAATAAATTATGCACCTAATTTTTTTGCCAGTGATTATACATTTAAATTTATAATCTAAAACAACCATGGATGTTACTAAATAACATGGAAAAAATAGTAGCGGTCAATCTTTCTTTGGCGGCGCCTTTTTCTTGGAGCTTCACCCAGCTGGCGACTGATCATGACATCGGTTCCTACTAACACTGATGATGCCGCAACCGGGCAAGAAAATAAATTATCTATCCATATGTTTTAAAAAATCAGTTCTTAATTAGGACTTGGCCGCTGTTTTTTTATTGGAATTTATAGTTTACTTTTAAAACGGATCTATACTTGTGCTCTAGCTAGCCTCTAGGGTCTAGACTAGAGTCCTCACACCAACGTGAACATAGAAGGATTGATGGAACATGGAAGTAGTTCAGTAGTTAGCACCTTTGTTGGGACATAGAGACCGACGACGAGCCGATGGACGGTGCAGCTCTGCAGTAGATGGAAGTTGAAGCTGGTCTGCTCGTGGGGGTAGGGCATGAGGGTGCACTGCAGCTGCTGGAGCGCCGGCGCCCTGATGGTGAAGTTGGAGGGGTCGCGGCGCAGAAGCGAGCTACCGACGTCCAAGGAAGAAAGCCGCGGCGTGTTCAGGTCCAGCCGCCTCAGGTCGGCGAGCGGGCCCAGCTTCAGGATCTCCAGCGCTCTGGCCTCGAGCTGCAGTTCCTCCAGCCCGTAGATAGTGAAGAGATGCAGCTTCCGCAGCCTCGGGCAACACGGCGACGACAGGAGGCGTCCGAGGCGGCCGCCTTCGCCTCGCGCGAGTGATATGTGCCATAGGGACAGGTCGGTGAGCGCGTTGAACTCGACCGCGGCCGGGAGCCAGAGGGTGGCGTAGTTTAGATTTAGCTTTACCTCCGCCGCCGTCGTGCGGCGAGGCAGCCGCACCTTGCAGTCCTTGTCGCCCGGTCTGCTCCGCATAGGCGGGCACATGTGAAGGTCCAGGGATTTCACCACGAGCTCCATTGCCCGGCGGAGCCAGAGGCCCGCGCGCGCTCCGCCGGGCCAGCGCAGGACGTCCATCTCCAGCGTGTCGATGCTGCAGACACGCCGCTCGAGGACGGCGTCGACGAAGGCGTTGAACCGATTTAGGGAGGCGCGGAACCGCTTGCGGGTCTCGTCGTCATCCGTGTCGGTGAGGTAGACGGGGTGGAGGTGTAGAGTCGGGGAGCGCGTGGAGAGGTCGCGCCACCGTCTGGAGAGTGCGGCCAATCCGGCGAAGTCGCGTGCGTCGGGCAGGAGGCCGAAGATGCGGAGGAGCAGGTCGTCGCCGAGGTCGCTGATCAGGTCTACGCCATCGTCCTCGCCCTCGCACGGCGATGCTATTGTTTTCTTTCCCATCACCCTTGGCAATCGTATAGGCGTGATGTGCGATCTGTGATGTGATTATTATACCAACCGGTAATGTATTGCTCCGTATTAGGGTTTATATTAGAGATTAAGCGAATCAGTAGTCGGATCCTTTACATACTACTACTGCCTAGTTGAGTCCGGAAAAGGGACAAGAGCTTTCCCATCGGGCAACGCTCAGAGCCGGTCCACCGGCGGAGGCCTCAATCGGTATATATATGTACGCGCGTCATCTTCTTCTCTCTTTTTTTTAGGCAAATCTGAGAGATTTATTCAGACAAAAGCATTCCCGGGACAATCAGTCAAAAGACCAGTCACGAGAAAGCTAGGAGTTTCATTAAGCTAGCTCTCGGTCACATTCAACGTGCATGTATGTTTTGCACAAAGATGCATCGAAAGGTTTGCTGACCTGATTACATGCTTAACATCAAATAAACTAAACAAATTACTGAGCTCTCCTATTTCTAATAAGATAGGAGCCACAATAGAATGAGAAATTTGGCGAGTGTTTCAGAGTGTCACCAACTCCAGAACGTCAACTTTCATTATCATATGCATGAACCCTCGAAGAGTGGCAAAGCGGACTCCTTCCCGTAATGAAAAAGCTTCGATGATTAGGGGGTCCGAGACACCCACATAGGGTTTGCACCATGAACCTAGCAATGTCGTGAACGAGCGAGCGACACCACCTGCACCACCACGCCCTGCTGCAAAGTTGAGAGATCCACCTGTGGTGATCTTCACAAGACCCGTGGACGCCAGCCAAAACCTGGCAAACCTGAGGCCGCCCTTTGGGGTAGATGAAGGAACAGGGCTCTACGCCGAGAGCCAAATATATGCCGACGGCTGCCGTCGGCCTAGTCCGAGCTATGCCGACAGCTAACTCCTGGCCGTCGGCGTACAATGGCCGTCGGGCTATCCGCGTCTAAGCCGACAGCAGCCGTCGGCTTATTCCAGACTACGCCTACAGCTGCCGTCGGCATAGATGCGGGTCCGCTGACAGCTGTCATCACGGCCGGCTAACGACGTCAAATCTATGCCGACGGCCGTGACGGTGGCCGTCGGCATAGATACAGGTGACACGTCACCGATCCAGAGCGCACCGACGGCAGCCGTCGGCATAGCCGACACGTCATCGATCCGCGGCGCTGTCCATCTGCCCTGGCCGCACCTATGCCGACGGCTTTACCGTCGGCATAGTTTTTTTCTTTCTTTTTTTTCCTTTTTCCCATATAGTATTATTATTATTATTAAGCATACAATATGTGTTAATAAGCATACCTATAGATTGTGTTAATAAGCATATAGTATGTGTTAATAATCATACATATAGTTTTTTTCTTTTTCTTCACTGTTTTCTTTATTATTTTTGTTTAACTAACTTACATACAGTATGTGTTAATAAGCATACATACATTATTTTTCGGTTCTCTACAAAGCGTTGTGACCCCCCTCACGAACGGTGCCGCCGCCGGCCGGCAACTGGAATGGGGAACAGCCACATCGGGTCTATACGAGGGGGACTTTGCTCCAAGTGTTTATATATATCGGATGACCTACCACAACCGGATGGTGTTATGGCATGTCCGAAGAGGCGGCACGCATCTCCGGGGTGTGGCCCCGTCACGGACGGCGCCGCCGCCGGCACCTGGAGGGGGGGGGGGGAGAACAGACGCGTCTGGTCTACATGGAGTGGATTTAGCTGTGGGTTTGGCCCGGATGTTGCTCCCCGGTGTCCCTCTGGGCCGACCCGACACAACC